TATATAAAAATGGGAAATATCGCACTTCTGACAATCGCAGCGAGTGTGTGGGCTAAATTGCGAGAATCCGTACTTCTCGCATGGACAACTGTATGTGGCCAGCTCACGCGTCGGAAAACCTTCTGATTTATTCGTGTACGCACCAGACGGAAAAACAAAAAATATCATGTATCCACGAGCGCTCCAATAAATAAATAGAATTGAAACGACACTTTGAAATGTTTTCCCGATGAAAACGAATAATAATAATAAGTTTCAATAAAAGTGATAAAATGGGAATTTAATTTTATCATTACGAGTTTGCTTGAATTTCGTTTCTTCTGAGATCGCAGCAATGTGCGACGGGTAAGCTAGTGTTTAATATTTTAATCAATAATTAAGATTAAAAAATGAATTACATAAAAAATAAGGGTTTTATATTTTCTATAATACAGTAAAAAATTTTAAAACTTCATAAAATTTAACAATAAAACTCTATACTCAATTGTGAGATCACATGTTGGTCAAAATGACTGCATAATTTTTTTTGCTGATGCCAGTCATTCTAATGGAAATGATTTGTATAACTCTTTCCAATTTATAAACAATTTATTTACTTTAAAAATTTTTTGTTATTTTTCTTTGAGTTAGATATAATCTTTTTACATGTGGTCATTTTAATAGTAACAAGTAAAATGGCAAAACCATATTTGGGACAAGACTATGTATCGGAGACTCACTACTAAGCAGGATTACTCTGACGCTCAAGGTGGGTCTCGTTCTCATTCTCCAATCTTCTTTGGTATTGCTGCTTTTGGGCGCAATTATTCAAACTTCGCCAGCCACGACCACGAGGTCATCCACGATGCATTTTCGATGAAATTAACCTATCCAATTTTGAAATTTATCTCTGTTGCTTATTGGCCCGGGTTGAATTTTTGTCGATGTGTAACAAAAATTTCCCATTTTTGAAAAAAATAATCGTGGCTATTGCATCATTTAAAATTATTTTTTTAATTTGCACAAACAATATACAGTTTAACCTGATTATAACGTCATCAGATGTAATGACAACCCTAATATAACGTCAAATTTTTATTGGTCCCACGATTTTACTGTACTAGATAATATTAAAAAAAACCCCACTTGTAACGACATAAAACTGTTTTAACATCATATTTGAAGCACTCCCAAATTTACAAAATTAGATTACAAATTTTATTTAACATAGAAGAAACTACGTGTTCATTTGTAAGGTCAGAGTTCACTTCTTAGAATGACTGTGGGTGGTACTCTCCCCCACTTGACTTTGGTGGGGTGATGTGCCTGTTTTGCCTGTTTGTAGAAGTAGGTTGCCATTTTGTATTTTATTTTGACTTGGTTCTTGGTCCCCTGACTATCTACAAGTCTGGATTGTTTTATGCGCAAATGATTTGTGCACCGAATACTTTGTGCCAAATATCAACATGCACTCGACATGCACTCCTTCATATCTTTATTCTAGTAACATAAAACAGCAGTATGATTTTATGAACAAGACATAGTCTTGTCAATAATACTATTATAATACTGTTTCATTGCTTTAACTTTTATTTTTTAATAGTTACTGTATTTTTGTATATATAACCCACAGCAGTGTGTATTCCAAAGAAAAGTATTAGAAGAAAAATAAAACCACTTAATCTGCTCTATGTGTACCCAGGGCTATTAAGAGCTTGTATGAAGTCTGAGGTAGGGTGGGGCACCTTTGCCATGTTTTTTTTATTTGAACAAATGAAATACATAAAATGTTTCTTTATTAATAAAAAGCAGTCTTAAAGATTTTACTTTTTGTTAGCAAAATGACATTAATTTATAAGGGTCCCTAAATTTTCTATGGATCTGGGGAAAATCTGAGGATTCCTTTATCAATGCCCTGCATGTACCTGTACCTTGTATTATGAAAGCAATCATTACTATATAGGTGCACGTTTAGGTTTAAAGATTCAAATAGCCATATAAACTACACCTTTGCATAACCAGTTTATATACACAAACTTATTTTACTTATTTTGTAATAGGTTAGTATAAATATCACTACAGTAGAGCATCGATTATCCGATTCAATTGGGGACTTGGGTTGGTCGGATAACTGAAAAAATGGATAAATGAAAAGTATGAAAAAATACATTATTAGTATAGTATATTAGTATATCCCATGCAATTAGTGTATCGCTATTAATCTACTTTGCATTGAATTTTCATCGATGTTAAGCCTAACAACATTTTTTTAAAATAATAATCGTTGCTATTGTATCGTTAAAAATTATTTTATTGCTCACAAAACAAACAACCACTCATAATTATAAAATTAAGCCTCATTTAAATACTGGCCTCCCTCTCATGGTTGAGCCAGTGTTGCCAGCTAAAACATGCAAAAATTTAACAAAAATAATATTAAAGTAGCCAAGACATAGCCAAATATTGTAGCGCCACATCACTAGCAAACATTTGAAATTTGCTGACTAGAATGGTTGGTTAACCAATGTGACAGTTGATCGGGGATTGGATAATTGATGCTCTACTGTATTCATAATTTCAAATAAATTTACTTAATGTTGATCAATGTCAATATTGTTATTTTAGATAATGAGCATGACAATAAATAATGTTGCAATTGATTATATAGCTTATATATGTAGATTTCTTATAATAAAAATTTAATAGATTTGAAACCAAATGGATTTCTATGTTCATTTAATTTGAAGATTTATTGTTACATAAAAACTTTATAAAAAATTGGTTGAAAAAAAAGTTTTGTATTTTGAAATAGCACATAGGTAGTGTGTTACAGTGCCTAAAACATTTAAAATATTAAAACCATAACTTAATCAGTAAATAGACAAAAATTAATTGTTATTGTCTATTTTCTGATTAATCTGTTGTTAAAGGTCTGCAGTCTGACAGAAAGTCTTACTGCATGATAACACAAAATTTTTATTTGTCAGCTGTATAAAAGAGATAATTTGCTGTACAAAAAGTAATTTAGACATATAAAAGAGTGTTATTTATGAAAAAACAAGTTATCCAAAAGTTGAAGAACTTCCTACATATGTAATTTCTTACAGTAAAATGTTTATCTTATTTGCTTAATCTTTCACAATAATAAGCATACGTAAGACCTTATTTTTATAGGAACAAATAATTTTAAGATAATTATAATTCAGTTTTAAGATAGCTATTACTTTAATCTTTTGCTTTATTTAAGAATATGATTGAAAATAATTAAAAAAACTGATTATTTTGTCATATTCTTAAAGTTATCCTGGTATATCTCAATAATATATTGCATTTGTTTTAGTTATTTACTATTAAATTTTCTGTTGAATAATTTAAAATACAAATTTAAATAAAATATTAAAATATAATAACATTTTAATATTTTATGTTTCAAAGGAGGAAAATGAAAAAGTCTTACAACAAACCTCTGAAGAGCCTTCCACTTCAAATATCTCTAAACAACAAAAACAGGATGTAATAATACGAATGAAAACATCTTTTAATAAAGGACCTTTATATGTACTTACTAAATGTGTCCAAGAATGCAAGAGAATTAAGGTAAGTTTAAAGAAACTTTTTATTTACTAAAAAGATGAAAACATTGGTAAAAAATTTTTGAAAACTGTCAATTTGTTTCCTATAATAAATATTTATTAGGAAACAAATTGACAAACTTTATAGAAAATTTATAATACTAAATATTGTAGTTTATATATACAGGTGTCCCAAAAGTTTCCATATATACATATATATACAAAGGTGAAATGTAATTTTATTCACAAAACATTAAAATGTCAGCATTAAGATTTGGGACGGTTAAAAATGACATAGGGGATACAACATCAACACCTCGTAGCTATATGTCTAAACATAAAACAGAAATGTAACACCTGATGAGGGGTGCAAGTTACACAAAAATATTTCACCCAAAATGCATAGTGAATAAAGAATAACGAAGATAACACTCAGAAGTTTTTGTCTCTGATAAAATGCAGTCCAGACAAAAAAGTCAGTTAACTTCTTCAGATTTAATCTATGAAGTTTCATCAATTTTTTGGAAGAAATATTTTAAAAAAATTGACCTTTTAAAAGAATATTCCCATAAAGAAGTTATAAAAGAATATTCCCATAAAGAAGTTATCCCATTGGCAAATCACATGGGTGATTTGCCAATGGGCACTTCTAGCAGGACATCCTATGTGGAAACTGGATTCTGTTTAAGTGTTAGACACATGAAGAAAACCCAGAACACTGCATGGTGGCCAGCTCATTGGTCAGGCATGAACCAGTGACCAACTACCAGTGTTCAATGGTTTTATTTATTTGGCCACTGGTGGGCTTGATTTGTGACACTGTATGGAGACTTGGGACAACCTGTATAAATAAAATTATGATGACAAAAAGTTATCTGAATAAATATAATTTGTTTTTGACATATTGTACAAAAGTTAACTATTCTAAGGAAAATCATATAAGTTTTTTATATACTTTTTATAAATTTTGATTGTATTTGATTAATTTGAAAAATGTTCTGTATGGTTTTTGTTCTAATTACCTGATGATGATCATTTTAGATGAATGAAAATGTTATTACAGTAGAACCTCGAAAACTTGGCCTAATGTGGATCGAAGGGTGGCCAAGTTTGTGAAAATGCCGGGTTATCGGGAATGGGGTAAAAAAAATAAGTATGATTGTTTCCTCAGAAAATACTGTACTGTACTTGTATGTATTGTTTACTTGAGAATATAACAGAGAATAAACTGCCCAAATACCCTTAAACAAAGAAAAGTACATCCTTTATGAAGGCATAGAGCCTTTACTACATGAAAATGAAAATTAATGAATACACAGTGTACAGTAATTTACCTGATAAGACAGACCTCAGAAAAATACTTTATGAAACATAAATCTGTCTATAATGAAAATGAACTAGGGGTTTTTTCGCACTGCCAGTGTGTGGCCGAGTTGTCCGGACTGCTGTTATCAAGTGCAGAGTTTTCGGGACTCTACTGTATATACTTTTTTTTATATATAATTTATTGTTATTCTTGTATAATTTTACTTTATAGTCAATTAATTATTCATTAAAGGAATAAATATATAATTATTCATCAACTTTATTTCTCTTTATTGATAAATATAGACTGAGGATTCTTTACAACAATTTTCCTTCTTAGGTGTTTTCTTATTGTTAGAAAATATTTTTGTTAATGATTACAACTTGAACCAATATGATCTTTAATGCTATTTAATGCTTTAATTGTTGTTATATTCATTCTGAAATATTGATCACATCTCATTCAGTGTTTCTTGATTTATTTAAATTAGAATACAGGTAATACATGTTTTATAGTTCACTTCTAACTCATGATCCTTGGTTTTGAGTACAGGCACAAATGGGAAAAAATAAGAACCTAAAACTGTTGGATCTCAATTGAAGAAATTTGGATTTATATATCAAAAGTTATATGAAAATATTCTTAATAATAAAAAAAATGCATCCCTTGTTAAGACTTAAGTTTTAATAAATGAAAATTGTAAACTTAAATGTTATCAGTTTTTTCTTACAGGCAAAAACTAATAACAATTAAGTTTACAGAAATTGTTTCAGTTCTAATAATTATGAAATGCAGATTTTGATCATTGAATAATGAGCATTATTTACTTATTAATAAAGGTATTAGTTTTGTGCATATGATAAACTAAAATAAATTCTGCCATAGTTGATTTATTGAATAGATATATGATACTATTTTATATTGCAAAGGTATATTTATTTAGGTTTAACTGTTTCATTTTTTATCAATGCCTGTAGCAACAAACAAGTGTTAAATTCAAAATTTTAAGATTAAAAAGTATAAAATTCTATAATAATAAAAAATTTGTTTGGGTAGATTGAAATTTACTATCCTAGCAGTCAAACAGCAAATCATACTTTTGTAATTTAATTAAAGTATATTTGTGAAAATATGATCATTGAAAATGAATAAATCCAAATTATTTTATAAGTTTAAAACACACTAATATAATCCATAAAGTCCTTTTGTGATTGTATGTTAGTTAAAATGATTCCACAATTTTTATTTTTTGTTGCTGCCTATTATTCTAATGGAAAAGTATATAGTTGCTGTTAAATTTATAAGCAATATATTTATCCTATAAATTTTGTTTTTTATTTTTTTCTTCAAGAATTAGGAATTAATTATTTTATACACAATCATTTTGACCATAATATAATCCATTTACTATTTCATTGATTCAATTTACTTTTTGCTAGTAGTTATTTTATAAAAGATTAATATAAAGTATCACTATACAATTTCAAATAAATCCAATTAATGATGATTTTGCTAATAATGTTCCTAATTATGAGTATAATGATAAGCAATGTTGCAACTAACTGCAAAACTCATTTATTGTAAATATTATATGATGAAAATGTTAATAGATTTTGATAATATTAAATGAGATCCTGATTATAATGATCAGGATCTGTTGTACTGTACTTTGCAAAGTACAATAAAATTAGATCAAATGTTGTCATACAAAATTTTAAAAGTAAGATTTGCTAATTACCTGTATTAATGCTAAATATTAAGTGCATTGTAATGTTTTAAAATACATTTTATACTAGTATATAAACATTGTTAAAAATTTTAATTATTGAGATGTGTAATAAGTTTGTTCATATTTTTAGATAAGAAATGAAGAATACTTATCTTGATTTAAGAGCTGATTGATTTTCTATACAGATAATAATTACATTTCAAATTACATATATAAATCTACAACAACTATCATATGACATTGGGTTAAATAACAACTATAATAATTATAAATTACTAATAAATTTGACCCTAGAGCAGGCCTGGCCAACCCGTGGCTCTTCATGTTAAATTGTGTGGCCCACTAAGCGATATTATATATATATATATTAAAACTTTTCTTTCCCGTTATGTGTATACCAAAACAATTAAATAAATGAAAATTTGCATGTGTCATTGTTATAATGCACAAGTGCGAGTATGAACTCCTGGTGTAACAATAAAATCTTATTTGTTTTGTATTTGTTTTACTTTTTAAAAGCATGTTTGCCTAAATTATGGTCCACCATAATGTTACGCATGATCAAAGTGGCCCACGAAACAATTTGGGTTGACCAGGTCTGCCCTAGAGGGAGGTGTTAGGCACCATCTTGTATTAAATTTAATAATTATAATATAATTAAATAATTTTAGATTAAACTGGAAGAAAATAATCATACCACAGTTGTTGTAGATTTATTGTAATGTATTGGTTTGTAAAGATGTTTATATTTACATATATAAATCAGTTATTATAAACATTCTTTCAAGGTAACATCCAAAACAAAAAAGTAATCAAAAATCTGAATGAACTTACTATACATCTCATAAATATAGGTAATGTACAACAAAACAAACTATTCATTTCACACTCACAGTCAATTCAATATAAAAGTAGATATTTTCAATTACTTTTAGTGGTCATTATCAGATTATGATTAATTAAACAAGAAATTCAAGTAGTAGTCTCAAAATTTGAATCTGAAATACCCACGATAGTCATAGAATGTGACATACATACATACATATATAATTTGTGTGTGTGTACTATACTTCAAAACTCTTAAAATGTATTGAATGAAATTGATATAGAGTATGCAAAACTGATAATTGAATAAAGTTATAGTATATATCTTGTTTGATCAGATTTTGAGATGATCATTAATTAATTAATTAAAAGCAATTGAAAACATTTATTTTTATATTGAATTGACTGCTGATATGAAATGAGTGGTTTGTTTTATTGATATATCATATTTAAATAATCAATTTAATTTGTGTTTATAATATATTGTCAGGAATTTATGAATTAGTATAAAATTTGGATTTTATTTTATAAATTTTTTTTATTGTTATCAAAAACATATTTATAAATTATAATTTAAATCTTTTCCCAATCTTAGCATTTCAAAATGTGCAAGTGTATTGTTCATCTTGTATTTTGTTATGTTTTATATAATAAATTAAAAATAAATTCCTAAATACATTACAAAATTTCCAACAGTGGCAGAAGTTTAACTATCCTCGCTTTTCACATTACTCATTCAAGACATGGTTTTATTTCTGGAAAAGAAAAGAAAAAATAGCAATAAATATTAATTGCTTTATTTTTAAATCAAATATTAATGATATGCTATTATTGAATAGCTAGGAGGATTCTTATGTACAAAATTATTTTGATGATTAAGTATCTTTCTAGCCAATCAAATAGTAATCTGAAAAAAATTGTAACTTGAATAATGTTTAATATTTCAAAAACTGTTGCAAGTTTAAAAAGAAAATTTATTTTGATATTCAATAAATATAAAATTATTTTAAATAACTTATTAATATTTAAGTTATTTAGTTCTCAAAATAGATATTGAGAAATAATTATACAAGTTTTCTTCCATGTCAGATTTAATTTGAAATTTAATAATATATGTTAGTTATTAATGAATGTACAGTACTTATCAATATTTCTGCTTTTATAA